TCTGCAAGAAGGGCGAGGAAAGGAGAAGAGGGCGCCAGTGCAGGAGGAGGGCGAGGGCGAGGGGCAAGGAGGCCTGGGGGCAGGGGGGCGAGGGGAGGGCGAGGGGCAGGGAGAGGGCGGGGGGCGAGGAGGAGGAGGGCGAGGGACGGGAGAGGGCGAGGGCGACGAGGAGGGCAAAGGGAGGGAGAAGGGCGACGGGAAGGACTGGGGGCGAGGAGGAGAGGGAGAGCGACGACGCGGGCGACGACGACGACGACGAGAGGAATCGGGAGAGGGGGACGCTGAGACCGCGGGTCAGCGCGCCTAGCGCCTGCCGCGAGGGTTGCCTCCCCTCGCCCCCGCGCGGCGGCGGCACCCCCTGCAAGGAAGCACGAACCTGGAAGAAAACACGCCCACAGAAGCAGAAGCTGTCGGCCCCTGCAGCTGAGACTGTCGCACTCGATGATGATGTCGCACGCCTTTGCATGATAGTGGAATCCTTGCAATACTGTCAACCCCTACAGTAAGGATGCGCGATAAGGATGCAAGGGCCTTGGAAGGTCACGTCGAAGCGTTTCGAGCGTGGCGCGGCCAACGAAAGTGGCCAAGGATGGGCCGAGGAGGCAAGGATGCAAGGGTAGCCTTGGGAAGGTTGCCCGAGCTCACCAGGCGGGCTGACTGTATTGCACTCGAAAATGCTGTCGCGCACCTGTGCATGATAGCGGGCCCTTGCAAGATTGATCGACATCGTAAATGAGCGAGTAGCTTTGTTGGCCCAGCGTCTCGAAAGCATGTCGAGGAAGAGGTCCCAGCGGTGCCCCACTTGATGCCAGGTAGGAAGAAAAAGCTGTCAGAGCTCCGCGCGGATTTCCTGGATCGGCGCTGGGTTCCCCTCCCTGGCGCGCGGAGCGCGCCAAAGACAGCGCTGGAGGCACCGCCGGGGGGATCCCGCGACGATCCAAGCAATTCGCACGGACCTCCGAAGTTGCATATGTATCCGGTTTTGTATGGTTTTGTTTGTGGAAGCGCCCATCTCAGGTCACTTGACTATGGGAGATGGACGACCCCACAAACCTGCTCATGTTGACGCACCCTTCCACAATTCAGACGATCGACAATGCCTTTGAACTCGGCGCGCGCGATTTGGGATCGCATGAGTACGCCGAAAAATCGGCACAACGTCAGTATAATAAAACGACCATCCAATACGTTCTGACGCGCACTCGATAGCGGCATAGACCACGCCCCGGAGTCAACACACTCTGACGACATGCAGCAACATACTGATTCGTCATCCTTCCCATCCGCATCCTGGCCCCGGTTTCGGCATTCGCTGGCGCACGAGGCGGCCACGAAGCGGCAACGGGAGCGCAAGGTATACATATAGATATATAAATAGGTATATATACACATTTATATATATAGATATACTCACATACATATATATATATATATATATTTATATATACATGAATATATATATATATATATATGTATATGTGTGTATGTATGTATGTGTGTGCGCGTGCGTGCTGGAAGTTGCGTAGTGTAAGGGATGTGGTGCCAGCTAGGAAACGCAATCATATGGTGCAAACTACGTGGTTCAGATTATGTGGTGCCACCTACGTGGTGCACGCTATGCCGTGCACGCTATGTGGCACCAGACATGTGATGCAAGGTACGTAACGGGCGCCCACGGAGCGGCCACGAGCGGCCATGGGGCGGCCGCGGACGGCCACGGGGTGGCCACAGGCGGCCACAAGACGGCCACCAAAAAGTCGCCTGGCGAAGGACCCGACCACATGTAGTTGTGAGTACCGCGAGTGTGAATAGTTGTTTTCGGTGGCGCTCCCTATGGGGCCACGAACCCTGTGAGAGGTGCGCCGACATGGGAACGGCGGACGCATGTGGACGGTGGCATTGGGGCCTTCGGCGGAACTCCCTCTTTATGAGGCAACGTAACGTGTGAGGGGGGGCCGAAATGGATGTGGGGGACGCCTGCGGGCGGTGGCAGCATAAGGGGCCACGCAACGGGGGGAACGGGGGAGGGGGGAGGGGGGCGAAATGAGTGTGGGGGGCGCAAGTGGACGGTGGCATTGGGGCCTTCGGTGGAGCTCCTTATGGGGCCACGAAACGTGTAATGGGTGCCGACATGGGCGCGGGGGCCACATGTGGAGGGCAGCACTTCGTCCTGCAATGGGGCTCCCCATGGGGCCACGAAACGTGTCAACGGTGTGCCGACATGGGTGCGGGGGACGCATGTAAACGGCAGCACGGGGGCCTTCGGTGCAGCTGCCTATGGGGCCACGAAACGCGTGACCGAAATGCGTGTGGGGGGCGCAAGTGGACGGCGGCACTGGGGCATTCAGTGGGGTTCCCTACAAATCCACGAAACGTGCGCGGGGTGTGCCGAAATGGATGCGGGGGACGCATGTGGACGGCGGCACTGGGGACTTCCGTGGGGCCCACTATGGGGCTACGAAACGTGTGAGGGGGGTGCCGACATGTGGGGCACGCGTGTGGACGGTGGCACTTGGGCCTTCGGTGGGGCCCACTATGGGGCTACGAAACGTGTAAAGGGAGTGCCGAGATGGATGCGGGGGACGCATGTGGACGGCGGCACTGGGGACTTCGGTGGAGCCCACTATGGGGCTATGAAACGCGCGAGGGGGGGGGGGGGGCCGAAATGCGGGGCACGCGTGTGGACGGTGGCATTGGGGCCGTCGGTGCACCTCCCTATGGAGCCACGAACCGTGTAAAGGGGTGCCGAAGTGGGTGTGGGGGACGCGTGTGGACGGTGGCATTGGGGCCTCCGGTGGAATTCCCGATGGGGCCACGAAACGTGTGAGAGGGGCGTGCCGTACAGGATGCGGGGGACGCATGTGGACGGTGGAACTGGAGTTCCCTATGGGGCCACGAAAACTGCGACGGGTGTGTCGAAATGGGTGTTGGGGACGCAAGTGGACGGTGGCACTGGGGCTTTCGGTGCAACTCCCAATGGGGCCACGAAACATGTGAGGGGTGCGAGCCGAAATGGGTGCGGGGGACGCATGTGGACGGAAGCATTGGGGCCGTCGGCGCAGCTGACTATGGGGCCACGAAACGTGTGAAGGTTGTGCCGAAATTTGCGTGGGGGACGCATGTGGACAGTGGCAATGGGTCCTTCGGTGCAACTCCTATGGGGCCACAAGACGTGTGAGAGGGGTGTGCAGAAGCTGGCGTGGGGGACGCATGTGGACGGCGGCGTTGAGGCCTTTATGGGGCCACGAAGCGTGCGAGGGGCGTGCCAAAGTGAGGGGTGGTGGTGGGAGGAGGGAGGAGGGGGAGGAGGGGGGAGGAGAAGGAGGAGAGGGAAGAACGCGGGGCGTTGTCTCTTCAAAACGAGGACCCAACACCACAGTATGGCTCGGAAAAACGCATGGTGATCCACCCAATTCAATATCAAAACAAGCCAGAATCCTTAGGTGCAAGTTCTCTGTGGGAACATCATTCGGTATATATATATATATATACACACGAGCACACAGAATGCTATCATTGTACACCCTGCATGGACATCCCCCTGGATGCCCCCACACACACACACACACACACACACACACACACACACACACACACACACACACACACACGCACGCACGCACGCACGCACGCACGCACGCACGCACACACACACACACACACACACAAACACACACACACACACAATCCCAAGAACTCTTTTTCGGACGGGCTCCCCAAACTTGGGGACACCTTTTTCGGATGGCCCCCAAGTTTCCCGTGCTTCCCCGGCTAGCCAACCGCACTTCTCTTAACGCTGCGGACGGCCCCAACAGCCTCGCAGCGACCCCCAACGCGGTCAGAAAGGCTCGAGGACCCAAAAACAGTCAAGAACACGACCCAACAGCACCCAAACAAGGCCCCAGGAGACGCCCACGAGGACCGCAACGACCAATGATTTCCTGCGGGTTCCGGGATAAATCTGAACGTCCTCTTTTTTCTGACACCCCATGCACCACCAAGGCCCCGCGAGCATCCGAGATCGCCCCAAAAACAGCCCAAGAAGCTGCCGAGAAAGCCCCGAGACGGCCGAAGAGGGCACCAACACGGCCGAAGACGGCCCAACAAAACTTCACAGACGGCCCCGAAACGGCCCAAGAGAGCACCAGAACGGCTGAACTGCCCCGAAACAGCCCCCGAGGACGCGAACATTCGCCAGGAGGGCCCCAAAACGGCGCACGGGGCCCCCAAAACGTCCCAACGGCCTCCAACTAACCCCCGGGAAGCCCCCGAAAAGGCCAGCTACACAGCCGAACAAGCCTCAAAGTACCCCCAAGAGGCCCCCAAGAGGTTTCCAACAGTTTCTGAAAGCGCCCCCCCAGGAGGGGCCCAAGACGGCCCAGTGACGAACGCAGGCCCCCAGGCGGCCCCGTGCCGGACGCAGCATGAACGCCAAGTACCGTGGAACTCAAGGGGACGGAAACGCCATTTAGTAAAAAAGGCCCCCAAGAGCGAACAGCAATTTCTAATGCCAAGGCTTCCAAGAGCAAGCGGCGCCACGTGCCCCGAGTGGCCTCCAAGAGGGCCCCGAGAAACCACGCGGCCTCAAAGCGCCTTACACAGACGCCTCGACACCCTCACGATCACGACCAAGACCCCGCTCGCGGTTCCCACCTCTCCCTTTCAAGATTAACACCGTGACCCCCCATCCCCCAACTTCCCGACAGCCCCTTTGCCATCATACAGTGAGCCCCGTACCACAGAAACCTCTATCAAGGTACGTTGTGGTTGTGGCCCCTCTCGGATCGTGACCTTCACCCTCCTCGCGCTCATCTCGCCGATCACTTTTCAAAACCATCGGCATCGTGGCCCCGGTCAAGGCCCCGCTGGGCCATGACCTTCACCCCGTTGGCAACCATGACGTACACCCCGATCGACCTCATAGTCGTCACCAAGTGGGGTAATGGCATACCCCGCCATCGGGCTCCTCATATTCCCCCTCGTGACAGCCCTGCCCTTCCCTCATGGCATCAACATGCCGATCTGCTCCATCCAACCAATTACCCGCATCCCTCTCGTGTTCGTGATCTTCCCACACCGATGCGACCTTCAGCAGACACCCTGCAATGCTTGGACGCAGGACCAAAACTTGAAACGAAGCGAATTCAGTCCCCAAGTTTTATATAGATGTGTATAGATATGTAAATATACATAATGGCCATACATCGTCATACATCTGAAATTACATAGATCTATCTATATATATATATATATGTATCAGAACATTTGTGATTGCGAATGTGCGTGTGTATCATGATCCCTCCATGTCCCACTGTCTCTCTCTCTCTCTCTCCCTCTCCCTCTCCCTCCCTCTCCATTATCCTGCTCCTCCCCCATCCTCATCCCCCAACTTCCTCTTCCTCCCTCCCCTCCTCCGCCTCCCTCCTCCTCCCTCCTCCCCCTCCTCCCCCTCCTTCCTCCCTCCCTCCCTCCTCCCCTCTTGCCCCCCACCGCTTGGGAACCAACAGGCACCCATGCCGCTACCCCAGACCTCTCCCGGGGCGCGTTCTGACCAGCATCTCGAGGTGAAGCCGGCCGTGGCGACGAGTGCCTCCCGAGAGGCCCACCGAAGCGAACGCGAGGGCCACTGAGGCCGAAGGTGGCGGTGTCGGTGCGCGCTCTTCCTCTGAACCTCGTGCGTCCTCCCCGCCCTCCTTCGGTGCAACAGAGAGATTGTGATCGACACCCCCCCCCCAGAAGGGACGGGCGAGCCTGCGAGCGCCACAGCATGCCGGTGAGCACCAAGCCATGCCCGTGGGGGAACGGGCCCCCCTTCCACCTGCGTTCCTCTTAGCTTTACTCGAGGCCTCCCGAATAGGGTCCGAGCAGGTGGGGTCGGAGGATCGCGCCGCGTCGCCGACGTCGGCACCACATCGGATGGATCCGTATGACTGATGCATCGATGATGCGGCGCGATGCTCCGACCCCACCTGCTCGGACCCCATCCGGGAGGCCTCGAGTTACAGGCAGAGGGAGCAACAACCATGACGATCACAACGATAACAACGACAATAACGATAACAATGAACAACAACGGCCACAACGACAACAACGGACGGGGAGGGGGGGGGCACCCCCCGTAACAGACGTTACGGGCTCCCCTCCCCCTCCCGTTCTTCCGGACCTTCCGCCCCGACCTTCCGCCCTTTCTTTTCGATCTGAGCCGTGTGGGTCTCCGAGAATTGCGCGCGAGGTGCCCAGGAGCTGCGACGAGCTCCTCCGGCACCTCCCGCAGAGGTCGGACGGCATGGAAGGCGGGGGTGGAGGGTCGCCGACCAGGAGAAGCGACCTCGGAGCCGCGGGCGCGCGCGCGCCGCCCGCACCGCCTTGGGGGCGCCCCCCGCGCCTGCGGCGCCACCGCTGCCCCCCCCCCCCCCGGCCCGCGCCTGCCGGGGGCCGGAAGCCCGCGCTCTTGCCCGAGGCGCACGTCGAGCCCACGAGGCCGAGGGTGAGGATGCCTCGCGGGAGGGGGGGGGGGCGCAGTGGGGCCGAGGCCAGAAGACTACCTCGCAAGAGCACGAGACCCTTCGCTGGCCAAACTGACGTACATTCGAGGCTACCCCCTCCCCCGGATACACCACATAACATCCAACAAGCACGATGGTCATCAGGGTACTCTCCCCGAGCCGACCTCGCTCTTATACCTCGGTCCGACTGAAAGGTTCGGGGGTTGCTGGAGGTGCCCCTGGCCGGAGGCCTACGGTGCCCCAGGCTTTCGTCTCAGTCTTGGAGCCCCCGAGGCCCTCTGGGCCGCATGAGGGGTGCTTGGAGGCCGTGAGGGCTCCTTTGGAAATCCTTGGGGCACCTTGGGCCAGGGGCACTTCTGGCCACACGCCGAAAGGACGAGAGGCGGCAAGCCTCGCAGTACGACGAGAGGCAAGGCGCGAGGGGCGAGGGGGACAAGGAAACCACCAGCAGGAGGGGGGGCAGCATACGTAGGACGAGGATGAGGACGAGGAGAAAGGCGAGGGGGGAGTAAGGGGGGAGGACAAGGACGAGGGGCGCAGGACGAGGGGGGAGCCAGGGTCAGGCCAGGTCGGGCAGGTCCTCCTACAGGCGGATCTTGGAAGAACCATAAAAGATAGTCACAAAATAATCCAAAGAGCACGAAAAATCGTCCCCAGACTATTTTTGGACGATCCTGAAATGTTCCTCCTGTAGAGGAACGTGCCCAGGGGGGGAGGCGGCGGCGGCGATGGGGGCGGCGGCGGCGGCGGCGAGTGGGGGCCGAGGGGATGAAGGCGCCCTGCAGGGGGCGAGGGCGGCAGGCGCGCACACCAGGGGGGCGTGCGAGAGGGGGGCGTGCGAGAGGGGGAGTCCGCAGGTCGTGGTCGGCGGGCGGCCGGAGGCGCGCGCGCGGACCCGGGCGAAGAGGGGTCGGGAGGGTCAGCTCCTCCTCCTCCTCCTCCTCCTCCTCCTCCTCCTCCTCCTCCTCCTCCTCCTCCTCCTCCCCCTCCTCCTCCTCCTCCTCCTCCTTCTCCTCCTTTTCCTATTCCGCCTCCTCCTCGGCCTCCTCCTCGTGTCAGCTCGAGTCCCCCCCCCCTTTGGAGGCCCTCTGGGGGCAGCCTCGGTCCGTCTTGGGCGCCTCCTGGGCCGTCTCGGGGCGGCCGTCTCGGGGCCCGCCTGTGCCGCACCAGGGCGATCTCGGGGGCCTCTTCGGCCGCCTTGCCGCGCGCTGCGGACACGAGATACAGTCGGGCCTGGGACAGAAGAACAGCCCACAAGACCACGAGACCCTCCGCCGGCCAAACACACACAGAACATCCAATGGGCACCCTCCGCAGGATGCCCGAGAGCATCCGACGAGCACGAAGAGCATCAGGGCGCCCTCCCCGAACCGACCTCGGTCCTCTACCTCGGTCAGGCCGCGGCCGGAACGAACGACGGTGTGATGATCCGAGAGCGCTCCGCCCGTGCCCGCAGCGGCGGCAGACCCAGAGGCCCAGCGCTGCACGAGAACAAAGCGTCATGCCAGGATTGGCTGCCGATGTGCTCGAGGACTCCCAAAAAGTAGCCCGCGGCCCTCTGTACAGTCGGACTTGCTTCGGCAGGACACGCGAGAGGACACTGCGGGGGCCACACTGTCATGGGAATGCAGGAGGCGCGCGCCGCGAGACACGAGGCACACACGGACCCTCGCTTTGACGGGGCCGACCTGCTCACCCGGGCCGACGGTACCGGAGCCCGTGCGGCACAGGAGGAGACCGTGACACCCTGGCAGGATCGCGGCAGGACGCCACGCCACCAGCACCTGCCGAGCGACGAGGAGCGCGCGGGCGCCGCCGCCTTCGCCGCCCTGCCGCTGCGCCGCCGGCCGCTGTGCGCGCGGCTGCTCTGCCGCAGGCGGCCGCGCGGGGTGCCGGCCGCCGGGCGGGGCGCCAGGCGTGGCAGCGCGGCCCTGAGAGAAGCAAGACTCGGAGGCCCGGCAGTGGGCACCAGCACCAACCAGCACGGGGGGGGGGGGCCTCCACGTGGGGAAGAGGATCCTCAGGTTCGGTGCTGGTGGCAGTATTTCGGTCACCTTTGGAAGCCGGAATATTACCACCGTCACCGAGATCGGGGTCGTCTTCCCTCGATGGAGGCACACCGCCGATCTTGGCGTTGGTGTCAACCTCTGGGCCTGCCAAAGACGGGAACGTGTGGCGGTGTCCGGCCTCCGACGGGCCCTGCGTGCAGAGACTTCCTCAGCGGATTACAGCCAACCTGCATAGTACCTTCCCAAGGGAGCCCGTGCAGCCCTGCCTCCTCGGTCCATCCTTGATCACTCTCGTTGGCCGCGCCCCGCTCGAAAAGCTTCGAAATGGGCTTCCGAGGCCTTGGCATCCTTGTCGCGCGTCCTTACCATACGGGTTGACTGTAGCGGTCAGCCTGGTGGGCCTCGTCGGCACGACGGGGAGGGTGCGGCGTGTCAGAGCGGAGGGTCTCACGACGTTCGGCGCCCGTCCGTGCGTGTTGCCTGCTCGATCAAGGCGCGGGCGCAGGGGCGACCATGTGGCTCGCCCCTGGAGGAGGGAAGACCAGAAGGAGGAAGAGGAGGAGGAAGAGGAGGAGAAGGAAGAGGAGGAGGAGGAGGAGGAGGAGGAGAAGAAGGAGTTGGAGGAGGAGGAGTTGGATGATGAGGAGGAGGAGGAAGAGGAGGAGGAGGGGGAGGAGGAGAAAGAGGAGGAGAAGGAGGAGGAGGTGGATGAGGAGGAGGAGGAAGAGGAGGAGGAGGGAGAGGAAGAAGAGGAGGAGGAAGAGGGAGGGGGGGCAGCATCCCCAGAGGAGGCGGATGCCAGCAGCGCTGGCGCCAGGAGGAGGAGGAGGAGCACCGATAGCGGCAACGGCAGCAGGCTGCAACAGCAATGCAGAGCCTGCGCCGTACATGATGTAGCGGAAGGCGTCCGTCTGAACAAACGGCTTGGGCGCCGCTGGCAGCGCGGAGGGGGGGGGGCGGGCGAGTCTGGCTGGCTCCACTTGCCCCTCATGTATCCTTCCTCATGCCTTCACCCTGTCCTCTGCCATCTGGATGAGGCATATAGAGCTGGCGAATTAGAGAAGGAGGAGGAGAAGGAGGAGGACGAGGGGGGAGTAGGAGTGGAAGGAGGGGGAGGAGAGCGAGGGGGATTAGGGGACGGAGGAGAAAGAGTAAGAGAAGGATGAGGATGCAAACATAAGGAAAATATGCAAAAAGGAGGAGGAGGAGGAGGAGGAGGAGGACGACGTCGACGACGAGAAGCTGGGGGCAGGATCATGAGCACGGGGAGAAGCAGCATTGGCAGAAGGAGGGATGGTGCATAGAGTGGAGGGACATATGAGTGAGGGAAGCGAAATAGAACGCAAGACAGACGAAGGAAAAGGACTCCGCCACCGCTCCCTGCCCTGCCTTGGGCACTCTAAATACACTGTGAGGGGTCCACGGGGTGGGGCCTCAACCTCTTCTTCCTGCGTCCTCCTTCCTGTGTGGTGGCCCAGGAGGGCCTTCAGGACGGCCAAGGTAGCCCAAAGATGCCTCAAACGTGGCTCAAGATCCCTCCGAGATGGTCTAAGATGGCCAAAGGACGGCCCAGACGAGCCAAAGTAAGCCCAAGACGGTCTTCCGAATGGGGTTCGAGCAAATAGGGTCGGAGGATCGCGCAGCATCGCCAGTGCATTCGGCGATGCATCGGCGTCGTCAGCGTGGAGGAGATCGAGGTCCAAGTCGAGCCGCATCGCCGATGCATCGGCGAGGCGGCGCGATCCTCCGACCCCGGCTGCTCTGGCCCCATCTGGAAGACCTGGATCCTGGTCCTCTTTTAGTGCCTGTCTGGTGGTCAGCATGATGTGGGAGACGACGAGCGCGTTCCACTGCTCGCAGAGTAGCTGCTCGCAAATGGCCCGAACCCGCCGCGTGGGATTGACGAACACCGTATGGAGGAAGACATGTTTCGTTCGGACGCCTGCGGGCAGGCACTTTGCAGCTAGCGGGACGCGCTCGGTGAGGGAGGGCGCCGACCACACACAGCCACAGCCCTCCCGAACAGAAAAGCTTGCCGGGAAGACTCGGCCCTGCCGGGCCCACCCCGCCCCCCGGGCCCCCCAAGCAGAGTGCTCGGCGGCCACCCCCGGGTGGCGGGAGGGGGCCACGGACCACGTGTCGGGCGTTGGCAGAACTGGGTTGAATGGAACCTGGTTTAGTGATTTGTACCAGGGGCGCCCCCCCGCCCCAGTTCCAGTAACCGGAACTGCCGTCACCCAAAAAACACCAGTTACGGCAAACCTGGTTTAGTGAATCAGGCCAATTCAAAGGCCCCAGGGTCCAACCATTGACTGGGTCCCCTTACCGGGGGTACTGGCTATACCCGAGCGTGGCAGGAGAATGCGACCTCGCTGAGGTCCGAAGAATGCCACACGACCCCACGCCCGCCCCGCGTCGGTAGAGCCTGCTCTTTTTCCGGCAGGAAGGCACGACGAGCCCGGTCGGGCCCCTCCCGGGGGCCCACGGCAGCGGAGCCGTCACAGAAGACGGGACGAACTCGTCCAGAAGCATGTGGAAGCCCGAGTTCCCGACCGAACTCGAGCCGTGAGCTTCCCCCGACTGAAAGAGAGATGAAGGGGCCCAGGGGCACACAAATAAATACACACAAATAACAGGATTCCCCATATGTTCCCATAGTTTCTGGGTTTTTGTCTTCCCCCCCACTTCCCATATTGTCCCGTATGTTCCTGGGAGTCGACGATTAATTGTGTCTGCGTGTTTCTTTCCCTCCTGAAGAGATGAGACCTGGACCCAGGCGGCTCTCCCTGGGACCAATGTTTTCGTCCTGACTCGTTGTCTGACGGTCTCGGCTACATGCACCAGCGGCCCTACAGCCAACCCGTATGGCAAGGACGCGCGATAAGGATGCAGGCGCCTTGGAAGGCCACGTCGAGGCTTCTCGAGCGGGGCGCGGCCAACGAAGTACGAGGTACCCTTGCATCCTTGCCTCCTCGGCCCATGGATGCGAGGTACTCCTTGCGCACGCCACGGCAAGGATGCGAGGTACCCTTGCATCCTTGCCTCCTCGGCCCGTGGATGGGCCGAGGAGGCACGGATGCGAGGGTACCCCTTGGGAAGGCTGCCCGTCCTGACTGTGCGGGTCGGCTATGTAGGCAGGAGGGACCTCTGGTGCGCGACTTTCGTGGGCCGCGGGGGGGGGGGGGGGGGCGAAGTCTAAGATAGGAAATCGAACTCTATACACCGACGCTTCTTCGGCCCAGCATCAGAATTTGCACTGGAGAGCGGATCCTGGTGTATACGTGACCCTGGTGCATACATGTTTCATCGTTTCCCCGGGACATCGGGGAGAAAGTATACACCACACCACCCCAGCGTCGTCCTCGACCCTCGAGAAATCCTGACACAGCCCGCCACTGGTAATGTACACGTTCCAGTTTCCCATACGAGCGCAGGCCAATGTACGATCCGCCGATCCCATGTACGAAGCTAAGAAAAAAGGAAGTAGCAAATTCCGCGAAAGCGGAAGCGACTCAGGCCGGAAAAAGTGGCAGTGGCTGGAACGAGCGCGGAACAGCTGCGACGAGGTCGCCAGGGCTGAAACAAAGCTGTAGGGGAACCTGCCAGGGCTGGAAAGCGTGGAGGGAAAGAGTGGAGGGGCTGGCCCCGGCCACCTGCTCCAGATTCCCCGCGGTCTGGCACTACCTGCCGGGCGCTGCTAGAAGTGCCCCATGCCCAAGGTGCCCCCAAAATCTCCAAGGGCGCCCCCATGGCCCCCAGAGCACACCCGAAGCCCAGAGCGGCTCCAGAATCGAGCGACGAGGCTGGGGGGGCACCTCGGGCCGGGGCACCTTCCGCCCCCCCCCCCGAGCCTGGGAGCCCTGGACGGAATCCCCTTTGCCCCCCGGGGCCTGGAGGAGGCGCCTGGCGCCAGCGCGCGGCGGGCCCCCCCCCCCCCCTGGCCTTTCTTGGCCGCGTCGGCCACCACAACCTGCTCGGACTCCTCCTGGCCCGCGCCCGCCAGGGGCGATGGCCGGAGGCGCCACCGTCGGCCAGGGCGGGCAGTCGGCGGCCGGCGAGGGGGGGAAGTGAGAAGGAGAAGGCCTTCTCAGAAGGTTCGGGAGTCCCCCGGCCTTCTAGATGAGTTCTGAGCCTTCCGCGAGAACAACAACCGAATCTTCTCAGACGGCGCGAGGGCTTCTGAGAAGTCCCGCCGCCTGCTGAGAAGGCCTTCTCCTTCCCACTTCCCCCCTCGCTCGCCGCGGTATCAGCCAAGCGGAACCGCCGGCGAGTGGCGAGGGGGCGTGCAGCAACCAGAAACGATGCCTGCGACGGCGCAGACGCCAGCAACCGTCGCAAAGGATGCACCGACGTAGCTCACGCGTGGCAAAACGGGTCTGCGTCCACTGCGACTGGGAGGTCTTGGTGGGAAGGGGTCAAGGCTGTTGGGCCCGATTGAGGGGCCCGAGCCGACCCAAGCCAGATCGGGCCAAGGACTGAGCCCGATAGAGGGGGCTGAACGCGATTCCGCGGGACTGGGCTGGATTAGGCTGGACTTCAAGGTGTACCAGTGCCGATGCTGGATGAAACCTCCCCAGAGCTACGTTTAGGTCGGGCATGTCCCCCTACAGGCGGACGTTGGGCGAAAAATTAAAGATACTCCAGGCATACCCCCAAATAGTACCCAAGTCGTACATTTCTTTATAAAGAAAACATCGCCCCCATATTATGTTTTCACTACTTTTGAATGTTCCTCCTGCAGAGGGGCACGCCCGACTCAAAGCTACGTCCTGAGAGTGGAGAGGGCGAGAGGCCGAGGTTTCCAATCGAGGCTCGCGCTTCTCTTGCGCGCCCCGTGCTCGTTTTCGGAGCCCCAGGGGGGGATCTCGGGGCCCAGGAGGCCTGTGGAGACGTCCGAGGGGGGGGCGGAGGGGAGGGCTCCGAGGGGAGGAGGGAGGGGAGGGGGAAGGAGGGAGCGGAGGGGAAGGGCGAGGAGAGGGGTGGCAGGAGGGGGAGCGTGGGGGAAAACGGCGAGGACCAGACCAGAGCTCGCAGGAGGAGGCCAAGATGAAGAGGCAGCGGAGGGGGAGGGGGGGGAGGCGAAGGGGTGGGGGGGGGGCGCGAAGCAGGAGGCGGAGGGGGGGGGGACGGGGACGGGGCCGGGTGCGTCCCCACGCCTGCTGACGAGGAGGAGAGCACTCAAGAGCCAGGGCGTTGGGCGCTTCGGGCTGAAGGGGGGCCCTTCGGGGCAGACCCTGGGCCCCCGCTGGCTCCAGAGGCCCTGAAGAGCCCCTGCCGGGCCCTTCTCTTCAGCCCCCCACTCAGGCAATCCCAGGGGGCCGTTGCCCCGTTTTGGGGAGCAGAGACCGGGGCAACTGGGAGCGCCGGTGGGGGCCGTGTCGGGGCTCTCCTGAAGCCCGTTTGGCGGTCTTTCGGGCGCTTCGTGGGGCATCTCGGGAGCTGCTGGTCAAAACAACGGCTCGCGCTCAGTTGAGCCCCCGAATGAGCCCCTGGAATCGCCTCTTGGGGCGCTATTGAAGGTTTCTTGGGTTGCTCTGAGGGCCCTGATCTCGAGATTCCGAACGGCGACAGAGCTCTTAGGCATTCGATCGGCAACCGTCGAGCGAATCAGTCTGTAGTCTCGAGGGCGCTGATTCACTCACTAGTCGAGCCATACCCGAAAAACTGACTCAGTCCTGCGAATGTTCTGGATGCGCAGCTTCGGAGATTAGCCCGAGATTTGCGCACGAGCGGGAGCTGTCTGTTCGTGCACGGGTATACTGAGCCCAGCCACGGGTACCAGAGCAGCCCGAGATTGCCCACGGAGGGGAGGGCTGCCATTGAGTCCCCCCTTCAGCGATGGAGGCGGCCACCAGCTCCTGCAGCTGAATGCAACTCTGCTCTGCTGCCTTAACGGCCCGCGGGCCGCGGCCCAAGGCGACAGAAGAGCAAGCGCGGCCGCGCCGAATAACAGCATCGCCGCGCCCTCTGGGCGAGCTTCGGCCACCTGGTGGCAAGTGCTGACAGGGGGAGGAGGGGAGGAGGGCGAAGGAATGGAGGAGGGGAGGAAAAGGCACAGGAAAGGGAGGAAAGGGAGGAGGAGAGCGAGGAAGGCGAGGGAGGAGGGGAAGGAGAGAAGGAGGGGGAGGGAGGGAGGGGGGAGGAGGAGGACGGCGAGGGAGGAGGGGGAGGAGGGGGAGGTGGGCGAAGGAGGGCAAGGAGGGGAGAAGGGCGAAGGAGGAGGAGAGCGAGGAGGAGGGCGCAGGAGGGCATGCGGGCGCTCGAGGCCCATCTGTGGGCAGCAGAGGCCCCGGCTCCGAGGCGACCCCGCCGCCTCCTCGGGCCGCCGCCCCGGGCCGCGAGAGCCGCGCCCCGCGCGCGGGGCGAACTGGCAGGCGCGGCGCGGTACGCGCACGGCGCGGGGACCACGGGCGGCAGCGAAGAGGAGGAACCGGCGGAGGGTAAGGTAGCCATGCCGCTGCCCATTCCCTCGTTTTCCCCTCTTCGGGCCTCCTGGGCGGCCCTCGTCGCCAACGCCGGGTTCGCCTCGAGATCCTCGTCCGACGGCACCCTGGGAGTGCTCCAGGGAGCAGCGATATCGGTATTTCCTCTGCTTCCCCAAAGAAAGATCGCCGTGGGGGAAGCGGGTCCTGGGGGAAACGGGCACTGAGGTGTTTCCTCGTTTTGGGGCCTCCCGGCGCCCTCCTCGGGCCCCGGGACCGTCCGAAAACTACTCGGAACGGAAACCGCTTCCTGTGGCGCCGGCCGCCTGGCCGTGGCCGGAGCGGCCCCGCGCGGCGTTTGCAGCCAGCGAAGCACGGCCCGCGCGTTTTCCTCTTTTTGTCAAACCACCATGAATATAAAGCCTGTTTAAGGACAGCGTTTGCGCCCCACGTCGGAGAAAGCCGCCTTGAAACAGATTGCGCGCGCTGTCGCGCCGGATGGCGGAGAACGTGCGGGAGCAACGCGGAATGACGGAGGACGGGGAACGCAGGAAATGCAAGGATCACGAGCAAAAAGGGCAAGATTTGGGCAACTACTCGGCAGCAGCCACCGATATGGCATGGAAGTACCACGCTGGGCGCGCACTTGAAGAAAGCAGCCACAAGCCAACTCACAGCCAGAACCTAAGCTTGCGGCGCCTGTCACAGCCCCGAAGCTCAATGAATGTCGCTGGGCGCACGGAGCACCAGGCGACAACCTTGTAAAAGCCGATGCATTTCGGCTGCGTTTACAAATTAACGAAAGACATGATCAGGCGGCTGCAAGATGAGAGGACCACGCCGTGACAAGTGTTGTGAAGGATGGAGACGGGGGCAATGGAACGTGGAGGAAACGGGGGGAGGAGGAAGGGGGACGAGGAGAGAGGGCGGGAACGAGAACAGACACGATTGTGAGGTCGAGGGTAGCTGTCGTAAGCCGACTGACAACCATAATATAACTTCCGACATATGCCTCAAGGCTCAGTGCGCTTCGCCATTTCCAAAGCATGAGCTGGGAAAGGACGAACACAGGAAAAACGAAAACGAACGCCAAAGGACGGCCTCGATCGAAATACTGAAAGAAGACACGGCGGGTGGAAAGCGCTGATGGGGCAGGAGGTGCAAAGAAGGTGAGGCGAGGCTAACTCCCGCGAAAATGCTTCATCCTCCGGTGTTTTTTCCCGGTCCGCGCGACTTAGATCACCTTCAAAATAAGAGCGGCCCCGCAGCACCACAAGAAACGCGCATCGAGACCGATGATGAAGTTCCAACCCTTGCAATTACATCTTGAAAACAAATTGAGAACCACGCCCTGCCATACACCCGAAAGTCGCAGGCGTAGTTGCACCTCCTGGCGCCCCCCAACGTCGACGACGGCGATCCCCCCAGCAGCGGGTCTCGCAATGTGCCACGGCAGCGCCAACTTCAGCCCCGATAGCTGCGAGGTTAAACGAGAAAATACCAAAGTCCAGACCAACGCAGACTTCTACTCCCATTCGACCGTTGACCGCGAATTGGTTTTCATCCTTATCCCCAAGCCAACGGTGAAGCCGTCAGAGATGCAAACGCCGCCGTCGAGCGGCATCGGCAGCGAGAAGGCCCACGCCTCGACGCACCCGCCCCCTGCCACCGCGAGTGCGCCCGCCGAAGGCCCCTGGAGCTGGGCCCCCACAGCGATGGAGCACTCGCACGGCGGGTCATTGTCGATGGGGGCGCAGGCGCTGCCCAGCCTAGACCACCAGACAAAGAACGCGCAGCCTGGCCCGGCGCTCGAAGCCAGACACTTCACGCCCAGCCAGAGGCGCCTGCCGGCAGCTGGGCCGTCGACCCCGGGCCCGCGCAGCTGTCCTTCCTGTTTTTCGATCTCGCCGCCAGGGACAGGCCGCGTGGAGTCGAACGAGACCCTGCCTGTCTTCGGCCGACATGCGAGCCGGCCGAGGCCAAGCGAACTCGAACCGTCAGAAAGCTTGGACAGCACGCGCATGGGAGGCCCAGGGCCTGCCGCCTGCTTGAGAGCGCCGCTTGAAACAGTCGCCACCTTCATCATGTCCCCCGGCTCCTCGACGTCGCCCTCCTCATCGGACTCGTCGCCTCCAGAAAGACGCCGCGCGGCACTGCGCGCGATGTCATCGCACTCCTGGATAAAGACTGCGACGAGGCCCTCGCCGCAAACATGAGCACTGGGCGCAGCCGTCGCGAAAATGCAGGCCGAGGGCAAATTCAAATCTGGCGTTGCACTGATGTCTTCTGTCGCCATAGAAGCTTTGGAGACCGCCTTCACCACGTCTGGACAGAAACTCTCGCACGCGTCCGCCATCGCCAATGGGCGCGCAGATTCCTGGGCGCACTCCGAAAGGGCCCCCCCCACCTTTCTCGGCCGCAGCCGACAAGTCCCAACCGGCGTCGCTCTCTCCCAGTGGTATTATCACCCCATTCAATCTCTTTTCGTCGGTCATCGCGACGTAGAACTGCAACGCCCCCCGATCAAGATCCAGCATCGGGCTCGACATCGCAGGCAACACGA